GGGTCACACAGTTATTAGTAAGTACCTGAAGTCAAATTTGAACTCAGTTCCTCCTGGCTCCAGGGGCAGCATAGTATCCAAATAGCCACCTAGCTGCCCCTCCTGATAAGTAGAGCTATAACAAAATACTGTAGTTTGGCTTGGGAAGGACTGATTTCCCTGTCACTAAATTTATTTAAGTAGAGGGCACAAATATTTTATTCTAACCCCGTTATTTTATCGAGGAGGAAACAAAGGACCAGTGAAGTTTAAATGACTTAGTCAAGGTCTTTGAGTTAGTACCAGAACCAGGCTCTGACTCATAGTCGAGAATGCTGCCCTTTATACTTCTCCATCAAACCTGATAAAAGTCTGAGAAAATTACTTGGATAAAGGGTGCACTGACAAGTAGCATTTATTTTTTGGAGTGTGATATTTTATATTTCCATTGGGTCACAGCCTTCATACATCAAGGAACATTTACTGTTTATCTTTATCTTTAAATCTCAACTATTCCTACAATTGAGTATTGTCTTTCTTTCCTTAAAAGACCAAGGTGTTGGACTAGTTAAATTATGTAAGTCCTGGAAGTCACTTCTGCTTGTGACAAGAGCTTGAGAGTGAAAGATGTAAGGCAAGTTGTCCCTAATTATAGAAGGAACAACAGTGACCATGTGAACCTTGACTACAGATACTTTTGTTAATAAATATGTTGCAAGTGTTTGGGAGGGAGTGGTAAAGAATAATAGAATGTCAAAGGGAAAGGTATCTTTGAACAAAAAACATGAAAAGCTGAAAAGGCCCTTAGAACATATAATATCAGAACAGACAAGAACCTTAGGAAATAGAATGTAAGAGATGGAAAGGACCTCAGAATAAAGGCTATTAATCTGGAAAGGACCTTAGAACATAGAATGTGAGAGATGGCAGATATCTATAGAAGATAGACCAGCAGAGAAGACAGTGTGGTGCAGTGAGGAAAACCTCAATTTAGAGTCAGAGGACTTAAATTCAAATCCCAGCTCTGCCACTTGCTACCTCCATGACCTTTGATAAGTCTCCTCACCTCTTTGGGTCTCAGTTTCCTCATCTGTCTGGCTAGATGAATTAGAAGGCTCCTCTAAGCTCTCAATCTATGACCCTAGTTATCAAAGAATTCAACCTTCTATTTTACAGACTCAATTCAATAAGCACCTGGTGCATACCATACTGGGCTAGGTCTTTGGGATATGAAGACAAAAATGAAAGGTCCTTGTTTTCAAGGAGCCTACATTCTGTTTTATCTGCTATGGGAAATCAACACACACATGGGAAAATAAATGCCAAATATATACAAAGTAGATTTCCTGTGCCCACCTCTGATTTGTGATTTTATCAGTATAAGGAGCACCTGGTGAGGATCTCTGTGACTAATAGTCTTGAAAGAGTTGCCCATGCCTATAGTCTCTAAATTTTTTTGACAATGCATCCCGTACGTAAAAAGATACTTGCTATGTACTCCCAATATGAGTAAATTTGCTGATTTACAAATTGTAAACATGCATTACTGTACTAATAATTATGCATTATAAAACTTACACAAAAAATAGACATTTTAAAAGGATGAAATAACATTTTATTCTAAAGTCAATAGAGAACTACTGAAATTTATTGAGTATGAGAATGACATGGAAAATCCTTTATTTTAAGAAAATCCCTTGGTACTATGTGGAGGATGGATAGCAGAGGGCAGAGACTTTAGGCAGTAGCAGTATGAGTAGAGAAGAGAATAATAGGAAAGATGATGTGGAGGTAGAAATGCCAAGATTTGACAATTGATTTGGATATGTGAGATGAGGAAGATAGTGAGGAGCTGAAGTGTCACTGAGGTTATGAACTTGGATGACTAAGAGGATAGTGATGTCCTCAATGGTAATCGTGAAGTTTGGAATGGAGTGGGTTTGATGGAAAAGTGATGTTGATCAGTGAAGATCACAACCCATGCATGACTGCTCACCTGATGAGATTCACTGTTCCACCAAAACAAAAAGAGGGAGGAGGGCAGAGCTCTTGCTCACCAGTTACTTCCTGGGGCATAGATCCCTCCTGCTACAACCCAGAGGAGATGGGAAAGGGATGGGTATGCTGGTTGGGGATGGAGGCAGTCCCTAACGGTGCCTCTGCTGCTGTTGCTGTGCTTAGGTTTGAACTGCTGAAAGAGGCCAACTTCTGAGTCAGAAGCCCACAGGTTAGGAGCTTGTACAACAAAGGGAGCTAGAAGAGTAGGAGAATGTTAAGGGTGATAAGAAAGGTTGTGGTGGTGTCAGAGACAAGCCCCACAATTGGTTCTTGCAGGGAAAGTGGGATGAAATACATCTTCCCACACTCTGATTGTTCTTCCTACATGCTTTAGGGATAGGTCATGACCACCTTTTTGAGGCTACTGGCCTAGGGCATGGAAAGGTTAAGAGAACTGCTGGAGGTTCACAATGCCAGTTATGTGGCAGAAAAAGGAACTGAACCCAAGTTGTCCTGACTCTAAGACTAGCTCTCTTTCCACTGTACTATACTGCCTTGTTATCAAAGTAGATACAAATTAGTTTCTCGAGTTCAGGAGAAAGAGGGAGAAACACTAGGAATTGGAAAGGGTGTCCTGTAGGAGGCAGCACTAGAACTGAGCCTTGAAGGGTGCTTGGGATCCCAAGAGGTGAAAGAAAGATGTGATATCACTTGCAGCATAGCGAATATATTGTCTTTTTGTCTGTTGTTCACCAATAGTTCTCAAAGAGGACCAATGACATCATGAGGGTGATGACTTGTGTGTGAAATGCAGATGAGTGAGGCAGAGCGAAGCAAAGTCATCAGCCTCCCTCTCTCCTCCAGAGTCATCAGAGTCCAATGGCAAGACAAGAATCAAGACGACTGGCAATGGCCCTGAATAGATTGGAAAGAAAGAGAAATAGGAGATGGAACGTTATTTCCACAGAACATCATGCAACCTAGTTTGGCTGGAATGTAAAGTACATAAAAGTTGAATGTTGAATCAGTCTAGGAAAATAGATTGGAATTAGATTATGAAATGCCAAGTAGAGGAATATTTATGTCATTTTAGAGGCAATAGGGAACAACCACAGCTGCTTCTTCTTTTTTCTGGGGGGGGGGTTAGGCAATGGGGTTAAGTGACTTGCCCAGGGTCACACAGCTAGTAAGTGTTATATGTCTGAGGCCGTATTTGAACTCAGGTCCTCCTGGATCCAAGGCCAGTGCTCTATCCACTGCGCCACCTAGCTGCCCAACACAGCTGCTTGAGTAAGAGCATGACATGATCAGACCTGAGCTCTAGAAATAACAATTTGACAGTTATGTGGAGGATGCACTGGAGAAGGGAGCTGTTTGAGTCAGGAATACCAGTTAAAAAGCTACTACACTAGTCCAGGCATAGTACAGTAGAAAGAGTGTTGAATCCTGTGTCAAAAGACCTGGTCTGAATAGTGACTCTGCTACTTATTACCAGTATGATCTTGGACAAGTCATTTAACATCTTCACTTTTGCCTTCCCCTTCCCCTTCCTAGCCTTCCCTTTTTTCTCCTGTAAATTGAGGACTTAATGATATATAAGGTCCCTTCCAGCTCTTCATCTCTGGTCCTATGATAGGTGATGAAGGACTGACCTAGGATGGTGGTGAAGTGGGTAGAGGGAAGAAAGTGATATAAGAGATGATGTAGAAGTAAAATCAACCTGGCAAATAATTGGATACAGGGTGGGGAGGAAGGGGAGCGAAAGGGATGGGTACAGGACTAATCAATCAATAATCAACAAGCAGGTATTAAGCATTTACAATGTGCCAGGCACTGTACTAAGAACTGGGGATAAAAAGAAAGGTTAAAAAATAGCTCACATTCTAATAGAGGAATCAACAGGTAAGATATTTTGTTGTTGTCCAGTTGTGTTCGACTCTTTGTGATCCCATTTGGGGTTTTCTTGGCAGAGATATTGGGGCAGTTTGCCATTTCCTTCTCCAGCTCATTCTGCAGATGAGGAAACTGAGACAACCGGGGCTAAGTGGCTTGCCCAGGGTTACTCAGCTAGTAAATGCCTGAGGCCTGATTTGAACTTCAGCCTTCCTATTATTCCAGGCTGGGTGCCCTATCCACTGCACACCTAGCTGCCCTATCCACTGCACCACCTAGCTGCCCAGGTAGATATTAGATACATACAAGATACATACAAAATAGATGGGAGGTAACCTTAGAGGAAAGGCACTAATACCTGTGGTAATTGAGAAAGGCCTACCGAGAAGTAGAATTTGAGCTGAGTCTTGAAGGAAGCCAAGGAAACTGAGGCAAAGGTGAGGAGGTGGGCAACAGTGGCAGATGCTATAGAGAAATCAAGATAAGGACTGAGAACAGGCCTTTGGTTTTATCAATTCACTGGTAACCTTGGAAAGGGCAGTTTTAAGTGAATGATGAGGTCAAAAGCCAGATCACAAGGGATTGAGAAGTGACTTGAGATATATGGAGGTAGAGGCTACCAGCATAGAAAGCTTTTCATAGGAATCTGAATGTGAGAGAGAGAATGAGGAAACTGAGGCCCAAAATTGAGAAGTGTGTGTGTGTGTGTGTGTGTTTTCTCCTAAGATCACAGAGCTGGATTGGGATGTTAAACTACAGATCTAGAGCTGAAAGGTAGGTCATATTTCACCCATTCATTTTAAAGAGGGGAAACTGAGGTCCCGAGATTAAGTGACTTGCCAAGGGTCACACAAGGTAATAAGTGGCAGAGCTGGGATTCAAACCGAGATCTTTTGATTCCAAACCCAGCACTTTTCCTGTTACCCTACACTGCCGCCTAATTATAATCCAGTTCTCTTTCCACTATGCTACAGGTGAGGAGCGGATCACGTTTCATGCTTATCCCAAGAGATGATACAATTGAATAGTTTCGTCCTCTGGTTGCGCCTCTGCCTCTGCCAGGTGTCCACTATCTCTTTAAGAGGAAAAGTGAAGACAGACAAATTACGCAGCTGCATGTGAACAGACTGGCTCAGCCCTCCCTCTAGCCGGCTCTCCCTTCCTCCTTTCCCTTGCTGCAGCCGAGCCAGCCACCTCCAGTAGGCGCTCCCGAGAGCGGCTCTGCTCAGCCGCAGCGGAGCAGCCCTGGCAGCCGCTGCTATGGAAGCCGAAGCAGGTGATGGGACTAGCTCCAGAGACCGCTGACCCCCGACCTCCCCTCTCCCCTTCTGTCCTCTCCTCTCCCCTTAGGGCTCCAGCCTGGCCCCAAGCCGCGGACACCACCCTGAGTCTGCAGAGGGCAAAGGGTGTGGTGGGGGAGGGGAGAGACCCCTGGCATTTTGCCCTGGTGTTGTAAGGAAGGGGCTTGCCCCTGGGAGGGACCACTGGCTCTGCCCCCTGTTGATGGGGGCTCATCCTCCTGTCTCCTGGGCCGCAGGTTGCTGAAGCGGAGTTGGCCGTCTGCAGCTGCTACTGCAGAGGCGCTGCGCCAAGCGGGGCTGAATCGTGCAAGCTGGTGCGGGCCGCTGAGCGGACTCAGGTGAGAGGAAAGGGCTGGGGATGGGGGGATAGGAGGAAAGTGAGGGGGGATTGCACTGCATCACCGTGGGAGGGAAGCCTGCGGCCACGGCGCGAAGGGGGGGAGTGAGGGAGCTGCGGTAGAATCCCTCTGAGAACGCTAGGCCCGGGAGGGGTTAGTCGTGACTCATCCTCCCCCCCCTCCCCTTCCCCTTCATTCTCCTGCATCCTCCCTTTTCCAGACCCCCTACAGCACAAGCAAAACTTAGTAGAGGAAGCCAGTGTTGATTGGGATACGCAGATTAATGTGTGTGTGTGTGTGTGTGTGTGTGTGTGTAGGAGGGTGTAATGCCCCCCTCACAGAGATGGTTTCTACCCTCTACCCTTTTCCCTACATTATTCCTCTTCTGTTTTCCACTCACTCCGCTGGCATAACAAAAACTTGGGGAAGAAGCAAATGCTGATTGGAATGGGGAAGGGCAGATCAGGGTAGGTGAGGAAGGACTCATATGCAGTCAGACCCTGAAGAGGTAAGGGAATGGAGGTCTTCGGTTGTGGTGTAGGGAGTGGAGAGAAGAGTGAGGAGTGAGAGGTGGTAGGGAGAGGGGAGTGGTGTGTGTATATATGGGGAAGGCTGGTGAGGTAGGGGTTAGAGTATGACAACACCTTACCCTCCCCCCTCCCCAAGGTCAGTGCTTATAACCATCTCTCAGGAAGAAACACTGAGGCCCCAAGGGTGGCCAGGCAACTCTGGGAACATCCGCCCCCTTCAGGGTGAGAGACTCAAAGGCTTGGTGTCTCCTGGAGTGACCTGTGTCAGGAACCCCTCCCCCAGACCTTTACCAGGTCCTGGTGCTGATCTTCCAGTGTTCCTATTCTTGGTCTTTTTGACAGATGCTGCTCTAATTGTCTTTCCCAGATTTTCTTTCCTTCTTTGCACAGAAGGAGGAGGCCTCCAAAGGATATCGCTGTGGGGTTGAGACTCATCCTACAGGGGAGGGGAGAGTCAGATAATCCTGAAGAAGCTGACAGCCCTGGGGTGCAGTGGGATATAGTAGGAAAAGCACTAGCTTGGGAATCAGGATACCTGGTTCTGATCTTGACTGTTGCTTTATTAGTCATGTGCCTATGGCAAATCGTTGCCTTCCTCAGAATTGCATATTCTCCATCTGTAGAATGAGAAGATTGGATCAGATAATCTTTGTGAATAGTGCCCAAGCAGGTGCTGTCTCCGATGGAGAAGAAAAATGTCCTCTTCCCACAGCTCAGAATTTAGGCTTAGGCCAAGTTGCTTGGATGTCTTGTGTATCAAACCTGTCTAAGGCCTGGGGTTGGAGCAGATGACCTCTTCTGGCTCTTAAGATCAGACAATTCCCTGGTGAAGCACTGACCTTGTAGGCCTCAAAAGAGCAAAGGAGATGCCCTGACATGCATGCAACCTCCTTTCCTGGCTCTCCTTTCTTCTTCTCTCCCTTCCTTCCCATCACTCCTAGAGCCTTATCGGTCATATTGCTTTGTCTTCCTTAGGCCCTCGGGGAGCAGAATGGGGTGGGGGAGAGAAGGAGGTAGGTGGCATAGACAACACACACACACACACACACACACACACACACACACACACACACACCCCTGTTGTCTTTTCTAACCCAGAGCTGATGGTGTTTCTTCTAGGAGATAATGAAGGCCCAAGTCTGCCCAGGAGGGAGGGAAGCTGAGAGATTGACCATAATAGAATGTTTCCATTGCAAGGATTTTGACAGCCTCGAATGTACAAATGCTCTCTGTACTTGGAGCATGCCCCAAGAAACCTTAGGGACCCTAGCTTCCACAGAGGATGGAGGAGCAAAGAAGTTGGGGGGAGGGGTGAGGAGAGATGAATCATTAAAACTCCAATTTAAATGGTGAATACTTCTTCAATTAGAACTCCCAAAGAACATTTGGTGAAACTATTTCCTCATTGACATTTTGTATCTGTCTCCCACTCTACCCTCCCCCCCAAAGCAGGATACTTTCTTGCCCTGGGCATTTTCTCCCAAAGTGTATTTTTTTTTCAATAGTTACCACGAGTTTGAGTAGATAGCTTATAATGCTTTGAACTGTCTGTCCACAACAGCCCTTGCTCAATGCTGGAGAGAAATGGGGCCAAGTTCAAGGAAATTGAGCTGCCAGACCAAAAGAATGTACAAACCTGGATGTGCCAGTGGCTGACGAATGTTTTATGCTCCCCTCAGAGGTAGCATAGTGTAGTGGAGAGAATATAGAATATTATCCTTTTATAAAAGGACCTGGGTTAGAACTCCATCTCTGCTATGTGCTTGCCCATGGTCACACACTCAACCTATTTGTGCCTCATTTTCCTTATCTGTAAAATGAGCAGGATGGACTAAATTTTTCCAATAATAATTTGCATTGATCTATTATGTAAAGGTTTTGAAGCACTTTATATGAGAGGCAGTGTGGGATGCTGGCCTCAGAGCCAGGAGGACCTGCATTCAAATCCTGCCTCTAAAATACACTGGCTATGTGATATTGAACAAGTCATTTAATCTCTCAGTGCTCTGCAAATCTTCTTAGTTGCAGAGAAGGTGCCAACATGCATTAAGAAAAACAGTTACCATCATTAACAGTATACCATCACTATACCAATGAAATCATAGGTCTGCTCCCTACCCCTAAAAAACTTATATCCGTTATTTTCTTTGATCCTAAGGTAGGTAGCATATCATCTTGTTTCCAGTTGAGGCAGCTGAAGATTACCTCTGATATTCTGTGACTCTGTGACATGGAACAGATGCCCGACAGTAAAAGAAGCAAATGGGCCAGGACTGAGACATTTACTTGTCTTCAGGCCTATTTGAAAGGCCTGTGTTGAATAGTCTTCTCTGAACTGCCATTAACTCATTTCATGACCTTGAGCAAATCATTTCTCCTCTGTGGGCCTCAGTTTCCCCATTTGTAGAGTGAAGGAGTCAGATGACCTTGTTTTTGATTATCTATAAGATTCCTCCCTGTTTTTTTAACATTCTCTATTTTGTCTTCCCTGCCTGTCTTGTGAATTGAAAATACAGCCTTTTCCCAGTGCAAAGGCAAACAGATGCATTAAGATAGCCTGGCCTTACCCTCTGCACTGAACCTAGATGGAATTATATTTAACTCCCTCTCCCCTTAGAAACCTTAGCCTAAAAAAAACAAAAACCAAAAAAAACAAAACCCTTAGCCTTAGAAACCAACCAAGTTCAAGTCCATGACCAAGTCCCCAGGCAAGGAGACATCTTTTCTGGTTCTTACAGCTCTCTAGTGACAGGATTCCATGGGGGCCCTTGGAGAGCTTGTTCCATGACTTACTACTCTGATTCCTAACATTGATCCTCAGGAGGCTAATAGAAGATTCTCTGGTGCTCAGAAAGTAAAGTGACTTGTCTAATGTCATGCCAATATTGCCAATCTGGGATTAGCACTTGTGGGAAAGGGAGGGTCTGGATTTTCAATCTGTTTCTCAGTCCTGTAAACCACATGAAGTCTTCTGAAACCTAGGCCGTCAGTACAGTTAGAGATCATCTCTGCATTTCCTGAGCAGGTAGTGCTAAACAGAAGTTCAATTTGGCTAGCACAAAGCTAGTGCTGATATCCTGGGCAGGAATCCTCTGCTGATCTTGGGGAAACACCAAGTCACGTTGGATACGTTGCATCTTTATGTGGGGACCTGAGTTTGCCAGACTATTCCACATTTCTTATACCATCAACAGGTGTTTAACAAGTGCCTGTGGTGTTCGTAATCAGACAAGAAACTTTAAAAATAAAATTCAACCTTTTCATTTTATAGAGGAGGAAACTAAGGTCCCACGGGAGAAAGAAACTTGTATAAGGTCATGCAACCGATTAGTAGCAAACCTGAGACTAGAACCCAGGTCCCAGGCACTTTCCCTCGTAGCAATCCTCTGAATTGAGGAACCAAGTGATTTTCCATGAAACATTGTAGATGAGAAGTCTCAAACCTAGGTTCAGCAGGCAGTAACTGGCTAGGTGATATTTGGCAAATTGTGAAGGTGATTTGTATTTCAGATGCAGCTCATCTACACCAACCCCTCAGGTCCCTTCCAACACCAAGGTTAGAGGATTGTCCCTGCCCCTGACAATCTGAGCTTCCATTTGCTGATGGTAGTAGATACCCCAAAGGTTCCTCAGCTCTGGATTTTTTATGTTCTAAGGTTCTAATCTTTCCAGTGCTAAGAGTTTGTAATTCCATGATTTTGTTTGAGCAGAAGAACTTTCTTTGGTTGCCTCTATCTGCACATGCCCCTGCAAGAATGCCATTGAGCATAGTTGTGGCATGATTGTTGTTCACAAGATCCCTTCCCTGCTTCTATAGTTTTCTTGCTATCATGGTGGATAGAAGGGGCCAGACTTGTATCTTTCCTCTCCTTGGCCTAGCAATGGTGGCATAAGTGTTCATGCTTCTGTGCCCCCAGTTTGGGATATGTCCTCTGTGCCCTGTCAGCCTGTGCTACTTGGTATAGGGGTAGTTTTAGTCCTGGATTGGCCAGGTTGGTGTTGTAGAAGACTGTGCCATTAAGGCTTTGGCTGAGGATAGTGGTAGGGCAGGGTGGCTTCTCTGAACAAGGCTCTGTAGAAATCCAGCAGAGGTGGGGACTTGGCAGGGCAGTCTGTGAAAGCTGGCACAGATGGCTTCCTCCAGAGAGACGCAAGGAGAGGTTGTCTGGCAGCTACTGGCTTAGAGTGGCGGTTCTGTCAGAAAGCAGCTGCCCTAAGGCTGGAGCCTGGAGGTACTAGAACTGAACCATCTAAGGGTCAGAGGTAGGTGTGTTATTGGGGGTGGGAGGAAGGGAGATGTGTCAGAAGGGGTGGCAAAAGCCTTGGAGGAACTAGCCTGATCCAGGAATGTTATCTGTTATAGAATTTTGTGATTTTGAGCTCTAAAGGGCCTTAGAGAACTAGGCCAGTGGCTTCATTTTCCAAATGAGGAAACTGAGACCCAGAGAAGGAAAGGTGATTTTCCCAAGG